GACGCCCAGCTGGAAAAACTAAACGCAAGTCGAGTTGCCCGAGATTCACAGAATTTAAGATAAGTGTCTTATAACGGGATATGAGATTTTTGTCATATCGCACAGCCCTATGTAAGGGAAAAAATGATATGTGAATTACAAAAATAGGCGATTAGTGATTTAAAATCTGTTGACAACAGACTAGACTAACTAGAGACACAGAGAACTGTGAGTTTCTAATAGTTTTTCATTAAGTCATTATCTCCAGATACTTACTATACCTAAAAGATAAAACTGCCTAAGCCTCATTATGAGCTCTGATTTTACCACAATTTACTCAGTTAGGAAGTGGAAAAAACTGCATGGCATGGCTTTAATGGGCTCGGTAGTGGTGTGCAGTATTTTTAAGCTGCAATTATCTTTTCAAACCTGTTTCCAGGACTGAAAGTTTATATATTCTGTTAGAGATATATATTTTTTTTAATGAAAAGGAACAAACCAGTCTTTGGCTGCAGGTTCTTGCGTGGCTCTCCAGGACCCTCAATGGGTTGATCAGCAAGAAATGTCCTCGCCTGGTCCAAAGTGCTGATTACCAAGTGCTCGCGCTCCTTCAGTTCTGACCGTAGCGCCTGCGGGAAAAGCACAGAGCAATGGCTTAGAGGGGACTTGATGTATATAAAAATGTTACTAATATCAACCACATTTTTTTTGTAACTTTGTTATGATCTATATATTAAAAAGATCGTTTAATTTGAGTTTAATTTTCAAACAGTTCTTGCAGGTCCTCGTTTTTGAAATAACTGAAGACTAAAATAGTAAGGCTGTAATTTTTCGTGTGTTTTTATGTTTTTTAATACAAAACCTATGCATTTTCTCTGCAGGTGTGTGCATGCTAGACTCATCTCCTCAACCTGTCCCTGCCAGTGAACTCCAAGTGAACCTGGAGCATATTGAACAGGGCTTGTACCCAGATTGCTGTGCCCCCCCACAGAAATATACATATTAATCAACCAGTTCTTAGAGTTCTTGTGATTAAAACACTCACATCAGCCCGATGAACAAACGCAGATGTTTACGTTCTCCCTATCGGCAAGATAACCAACACATTCAATGGCTAATTAGGTGATTGCAGCAGAACAAAACAGTTTCCCTGCTCAGTCTTCGCCTATTAAGAAGGAATCAAGAGGTAAGAGAGAGAGAGTGGCTATGTAAGGAGTGTCAGCAGTATTGAAAGCTCTGAGAACAGAGCAGCGATTGAAGTGCGAGTACTGGGTCAAACTGGGCTTCTCCTCTGGGTCTGTGTGAAATTAGCTGAGCAAGGCACAGAATAAAGCGAGTCACTGTAACCCTGCAGGAATAATCATTATAGAGCTCGCTAGTAACACCACACATCTTGCACATCCTCTCACAGTGCCGCTCATATTGAAATGAGCATAGTGCACCACACACTCCAGGCTCTAGTTCATGAAGTTCATGAAGCAATCTGACAAATGCTCTTAACCTTATGTCAAGAATTCTGCCTCAGCAGAGTGCACGGCAGGCGATAGAACTACATAAAGGGGGTGAGAACGGTATGTAATGGCATAATTGTTCTTGTCTGAATATACATGTGACACCCCGAAGGACTTCATTGCCTATCGGAGTGTGTGATTGCTTTGTGAAGAGGCGATGTAGTTGAAGACACTGTGAAGCTGGTTGATTAGCTGGGATGACCCGCTCTGATAAAGTCTCACACTTATCAGACTGATCAAACAGTCGAGTGCAGCAAAAATGAGATGCAAAAGATTGACGACAAGATGCTGGCTTGGATGCAATCGTATTACCGGCAACATTTGAAGACGTAAGACAAGAACAATAAGAATCGCCTTGAAGAGAAACTATCCAATCCGTATGTATGAGAACACCCCACCACTCAAGATGCAGCTTACATCCATATACGCACATACCTGAACTTGCACCTTCTGTGTGACCTTCGTTATACAATGTCATCACAATCTAATTTCATCCTTTTAGACATTTGCGTGAAGATTTGCCATAATTAGCCTATAATTTCCTGAGTGACCTTAACCCTCTCACCACTTCTTTCAATTCTATTTCACAGTTCACACACTGCTGCTGTGGAAGCATTAAAAAAAAAAAAAAAGTCATTTCTGGAAGTAAGTTCTTGTAAAAGTTGGATTTAGACCAATGCAATGACAATTTCACACAGCCTCCTGCAGACAAATGTACTCTCACCCTGAAATGAAGCATCCTGCTGAACACAAATTAGATCATCCCTGCTAATAAATGGTTTGCTTCGTTCCAATGATTTCCTCCCCGTTCACACAGAGGAAGCATAATAGGTAGGTAGCGCAGAGAGGGGACCTTGAGAGATAGAACGTAAATGAGAGGGGATTGAGGAAGAGGGAAAGGGGTGTGAGCAGAGATAAGAAAAAGAGGATGAGGAGCTGAGCAGCGAGGACAACTCCCAGTTGATACCAGCGCCTTTAGTTTTCCATATATTTCCTTTTGTTTTTGCTGTCAGATGTAGAGTGGTGGTTTAAATTAGGAAATGAAATGAGGGTAAAGAGGCTGTTTATTTTCAAAGTTTATTGCATGTTACTCAGAGTATTCCGATGTCAGTTTTGTAATGTGTTAATCACAGATAACAGCTCAGGTCGACGAACAGCATCCTGGTGGAAACAAATTGCACCTGGTTGAATAATTTAGGGAAGTCTGATTACAACCAGATGTAGAAGGAACCAACATATATACAGCATCAAAGCAGCAAATTGGCTTGTTTATAGATATGTGAAGTTTGACTTCATGTATTACACTTTTAACATCTCCAAAGATCCGTCTGCAAATATTTGCAAGTCTGATAAACCCATGTTATTCACAATAGAAGACAGAAAACAAATACTTAACCTCAGAAAATTAAGAAATATCCACTCATTTTGAATGTGATGGAGGCAACATCAAAAAAAAAAAGTTTATTCAATTCAACAGTTGCCTTAAGTCGCTTTATGTTGTAAGGTAAAGACCATACAATGACAGAGAAAATGAAGAAAGCTTCAACAGGGTCTGCCAACAGTCTGAGAGCAAAAAGTTTTACTGGGGCGATATTGTGAGGTCCTTCAAGATAATGAGTAGATGGGTTTACCACTAGGGCTGTTCGATATAACGATATATATCGGATGACGATTTAAAAACGTCTATCGTTTCATTTTACGCTATCGTTTGTTTCATGGTGTCACAAAATAAACTGTTTACGGCAATATTTTTTCATCGTTTTGATGGTCACTGTAGTGGCTATATTAATTTCTTAAA